TGGCTTAAAGCACCATTTTTTATGAAAAAACGGTTTCAAACAAACAGGCATTTCTTAGAGCACCGTGTTTTCTGACATGGCATTGATGTATCACCGTTTTCTGGAGCAACAACATCAATACCAAATAGATACTTAAAATAAGTGCTTTTTCACCAAACGCTTATTAGATTAAGCCCTTATTTTTTAAATAAACACTCCCAAACGCAACCAAATTGATTTTTTAGATTAAACAAATTAACCAAACTGAAAAAAGTAAAAACTAAAACAATCTAATAAAAAATTAAAACCGAAAATTTTAATTCTTTTTGGGTTTTAACCGAATAATATTTATATTTAGGGGTTATATAAAAAAATGTAAAAACAGAAGGGCTTTAGGCAAAATTAGTATATTTAATTAGTTGAAGACTTAAAGGCTGGAGCATTTGAATGAGTAAACACGGAATTGTGAGAAGGGAGGTGTGAGTGTATTGGGAATGCAGGATGCGAAAGGAAACATTAGATGTGTCAGTTGGGTGAGACCCACATGACAGAATGAGTTAGTGGACTTTTTGGGCCAATAGAAATATAAACTGGAGAGAGCTAGCTGTACGAGACGCGGAGAATGGCGTACCCCAGACGCTACCTCCCGCAATACACTCTCTCTGTCTTTTCCCTCAATTCATCGCCGATGTTTTCACATTTTCACTTCTTCCAATTTTCACTACATACCTCCTCATTTTTTTGGGGCTTTTATTTTTCCTTTTCACAAACTAATCCACCCGATTGGATGGCACGTGCGTGTCACAATTTATTACACCTTACGAGTTACGATTAGGGTGCTCTCACATGTGATTGAATCTAAACCCAACAACCGGTCACACCAGCCTTCGCGTACATCATCAATATCTCCCTTTTCTTCCATGGCGATACGTTCTCAATATAGAATTCGGCTTCTATCGGGGCAACTTGGTGCCTCTCATGAAATAAATCATACAAATATAGAGATATTCCCAATCTTGATAGAAGCCAATTCCTCAATTACAACTTTAATTGTTGGGATCTAATCTCAATTCCTCTCATACGGGGTTTTCTTCCTCCAGTTATTGTCACAAATCGAATAACAACCATTCAGATCTAGAAAATAGCTTGTGTAATTTTACTTTCGTTAGTCAAATTTAGTAGCATTAGACCAGGTTGTTGGGTTGATTTGCTAAATATCACGCTCGCTTTGGCTATCGGGCTATTAGGATATAACATATAAGATATGTGAAACAAAAATCTATGATGCTAAAAAGATATGATATGGAAAAGGCTTTGACTGATTGGTTATAAATTGATCCACTGATGTTGGAAAAGATATGGTATCAAAAATAATTATAACTAATCAACTAGTATCATAAAAGTGGTAAACAATCATATGGGTTTTCATCAAAATTAATGGGATTTTGTTTGATCAAAGATTTTTTAGTATCATGTCTTTCCGGCATCATAGGTTTTCTTGTAAAACATAATACAAATACATGAGAGTGCAGATGATAAAGTATAAAAATTCTAGTTCCATTTAGTTTTGACTTTTTCCTTGTTTGAAAAGAGTATAAATACAAATAAAAATAATACAAAATAATATAAAATAGAAGGTTTTACACTCTACATACGTATATTTGTACTCCTTCCAAATCGGGCCTTAAGTTTTATTTTAGGGTAAATTATATAGACCCTCCTGTATTATGGGATCTGTAACAAAGACCCCCCGTACTTTGTTTTGCACAAAGACCCCTCTGTACTATGACTATAAGACAAAAACCTCCTTCCTAACTTTCTATTGAAGTCTGCCCTTGCAATATTTTTTAATTCCCATACTACCTTTTAATAAGAAAAATACTATTCATCTTTACCGGTTGTACCGGCTTGGCCGAAACCAGTTGCCAGGCAATCATCAGTGGCTTCATGTGCGCCCAAACCCCTTGCAAGCAGTGCCATCTATGTCGCTGGTGGAATCGGCCCAGCCAAACCAGTTGGCAAGCAGTTATCGGCAAAGGTAAAGAGGTGGATTGAGATGAAGCAAAGGCGGTGCTGTTGCAACTTCCGGCTGAAACCAGTTTCATGCCCTTGTTGTATAACTGACCTGCAACTTCCGCTTTCATGCCCTGTTGTATAACTGACCTTTGCCAATGCCAGGCAAACATCGGCAAAGGTAAAGAGGTGGAAACCCCATGTACTTAGTAGGCACACGCCTTAACCTCTCGGCCAAAGCGACGATTGATTTCAAGGCTAGTATCAATCCAACAAGACTAAAAAACAATACAAGAAAAAACCAGTATCGCCTTTTCCGGCTTTCTTTCCGATCGTTTCAGTTTCCGTCGGGCAGAGGATTCACCGAATCAGAAAGCCATAACTCGTAACAAGCTTTCAAGAATTATTTTTCAGCGCCCCCAATTTGTTTAACAATAAAAATTTCTTACAATTTATATGTTCAAGAAGCAAATACTATTTTTGTTCTAATGTTCGAACTAAATGAGAAAGATAAGTGAAAAACCTCTGATTCATTTTAAACAAGTGTGCTCCCTCACCTGGGAATGCTATCCCATTCTCTCTCTCCCCTGTGATAATGTTGTCGTGCAAGCTAAGCTTTCTAAGAATTTGAAGTTGGGCGATCTTCTCGGTGATATGGGCAGACATCTGTTGTTGGGGCTATTAAGCATTGCATTTTGTCAGATGAGACATGAGTTTCCTCAGCCCTTTCATTTCAGAGAGTTGGGAGAGAAAGAATGAGAGATGAGGGTGAAGAAGGGGAAAAGAAGAGAAGAAAGGGAAAACAATAGGTTTAATAGGTTTTAATAAAAAAAGGTAAAAAAATAAAAAGGTTAATGGAATATTTTAATAATTTAATGCATTCTATCATCTGATTTAACGGTCAAGGGGCTCTTTGTGGCAAAACAAAGTACAGGGGAAGTCTTTATCACAGACCCTATAATAAGGGGGAGTCTTTGTAATTTACTCTTTATTTTATTTCATTTGCATTGCAAAGTGCAAAAAACCAAAACAAGATAAAAATTAAAACAAAAATAAGCTAAAATTTCCACTAAAAATTATTTATATTTTTAACACTTTTGCACCAATGCAAATGACATCACAAACTATTGAAGCCTAAATGCCTAATAGAAATACAAATACACATTCTAACATGGGTTCAACGATGAGAAAATACACTCTCACTTAGTCACTTTCACTCTCTTAGTGGGGGGCTGGGGGCATGGAGGTGGGTGGGTCGTGGTGCCTTTATTTTTCCTACGTTGTGCGTATGCTGTATTTTGACTAAATTGCCCCATTAATTAGAACCGTCCAATATAAGGGACCACCACCTCTTGAGTCTTCTTGACCAAGTTATGGTTTTCTCGTGATCCTCGTTGGTTGTCAATTAGTCATAGCTTGCAAACGGTTGTTCATTTAATACAGTAGGACTAGTATCTATTGAAAAAGAAATCAAACCTTCAACGATTCATTCATTCACATACACCGGTAATCTAGTAGTTAGAAGAACTCTGATGATCTGGACCATTTCATTTCTAAGTTCAAACTCATCCAATCTGAGGGCCTACATTGATTCCCTGGCACCCCCCTATCCTGTTCCCAAACTTTGGAACCGGTTAGGTTTTCCCATCCAAAACCAAAGATAGTCATAAGCAGGTGGATCGGGTCGAGATTTGACAAATAAAGAAATTAGGGATGCCAAACGGGCTGGGTTTTAATATGGTTTATCTCAAATTGAACCCAAGGATTAGGCTAGATCCATGGTCGACGTATCATATCCATATTATATCTTGTATATGATACATCCATATTCAATCAAACCTAAATTTATACAATATTTCAATACTACAATGTCAACGGAAGAAGAGAGGTTCAGAATGAATTCGCATTAGTGCGGATTTACCACTCAACCCGACCCATCCATACTCAACCAAACCTAAATTTATAAAATATTTCAATACTACAATATCAACGGAAGAAGAGAGGTTCAGAATGAATTCGCATGAGTGCGGATTTACCACTCAACCCGACCCATTCATACTCAACCAAACCTAAATTTATAAAATATTTCAATACTACAATGTCAACGGAAGAAGAGAGGTCCAGAAGGAATTCGCATCAGTGGGGATTTACCACTCAACCCGACCCACTGACATGACTTCTCCAAGCGGAACTGGGAAATGCAAGAGAGTATGTTGGTTGAAAGTTGAAACCAAACTATTTCTAATTCCTAAACGATCGGAGGATCATGTAGATCGCCACGATTTGAATCCCCGGTCCATCTGAGAAGGGGACTGACAGGTTTCTGTGTGCAACCAAAATTTGGAAATATATTTTGTCGTATTCGACGTGGTAGATAACAAGGTATTATATCCGACACGTGGAGTCAGAGAGCCAGCTGGCAAAAAAAGGACTGGAGTTTCATAATTATTTGGGGGAAAAATTTTAGCTGTTGGGGGCTGGGCTATCGACCAGCGTGTCGGAAAAGAGGTAAAGTGGAACGGCGGCAGACTCACATGGTTTTCCGTCCTTCCTCGAGTGGGCCAGCTTGCAAATTCGCAACACGACACGCTGGTCTTTCATCAAAAAGGAAAAGTAAATAAAAATGAAAAACCAAACCCTCTGATGAGGCTCTGAGTCTCTGACCCTCTCCCTCCAATTATTTATTATTTTATGCGTGATGTTCATGCGGGAGCGCTCTCGCTCTGAGGAATCCGTGTGATCCCCATCGTGTTCGTCATCAATAGGTCACAATTCACAATCACAAGTGCGCGCAGCGGAGATCACACCATTTATTCAATGTGACCGCTCCTGTGACACGTGTTTGTGCTGCGGCCACTACATTCTAATTGAATGGTCTAGATTAGTTAACAGTTGGAAGGGATCAGATTCAAATTTAGAAGAAAACAAGGGTGTCTAGTGAAAATTATTTTAAATAATTAAACGTTGGGTTTCGATTAATCTATAATGGGCTCTTGGATTCTTACATAAACCGTCTAAAATTCCAAGCCAAGACTCCGAATGCGAAACACCTCCACCTTCCCTCAGTCTTCATAAACGCGGATTCACTCGATTGCAAACAAGCAACTCGCGTTCCCGCCGTCTGTAACATTTTTCCGTATTAAAGGCTTGAAGCCTTCTTCTCTCTCGTCTATGTAGAGAGAACAAGACCAGAAAATAAAGACAATCATCTCATCTGAAGGGGGGGAATCTGTAATGGTTGTCATGGCGAAGTCGAAGAACAGCAACCAGAAACTCTCTTACATCTCAGTTCCGTCGCAGGTTATCCATTCTCTCTCGTCTACGTCTCTTCAATCTCTCCTTCTCTCACCGAAGAAGTCTTCCAGGAACGCCAACAGGTTTTTCAACACCGCGAGGAACCCAAGATTCTGGTTTTCCGTTCTGTTTCTCTTTGCTTTCGTCGGAATGTTGAGGTTGGGCTTCAATCTGGAGCCACTATTGCCTTTCTCGCCCAACCCATGCTTCGTTGGTCAGCCACAGACGCTAATCTCGAGGAAGGACTCGGTTACGCAGATGGGTCTAGGATCAAATGCTGGGGACGTTCGCCAGGAAGAGGAGGACGGTGAGGAAACAGAGTTTTGGAAGCAGCCAGATGGTTTGGGTTATCGACCATGCTTAGATTTCAGCGGTGAGTATCGGAGGTCGAGCGAAGTGATTGTGAAGGACCGGAGAAAGTATCTGCTGGTTGTGGTTTCTGGTGGGATGAATCAGCAGAGGAATCAGATAGTTGATGCCGTTGTGATTGCTCGGATTCTTGGTGCTGCTCTGGTCGTTCCAATCTTGCAAGTCAACGTGATCTGGGGAGATGAAAGGTAAAGATAGTTTCATCAACAGAGACAGAAACATTAATAAACAAGTAGCGCAAAGAATCGAAAGATGAAACTGTAAAACAGACACATTTGCAGAAATCCCCTTTTACCAATGATTTTTTTAAGGAACGTCTTTGTGGCTTATGTTCTGTTCTATTTTTCTTGATTTAAATCAGACAAACTGAAACTGTTTTCAGTATCAGAGAGACCAAAATTGAGAGCCCAGGATACTGATTCCTTTAATTTTTGTTTTGGTGACTGCAGTGAGTTCTCTGATATATTTGATTTGGATCATTTCAAAAAAGTTCTGGCTAATGACGTTCGGATAGTTTCATCGTTGCCGTCGACGCATCTGATGACAAGACCCGTAGAAGAGAAACGGACTCCTCTTCATGTCACCCCTCAGTGGATTCGACAACGCTACCTCAAGAGGGTAAGGACTAAGAACCATCCCTCTTGTTCTTGTTGTTGTTGCACTAAATCCAAATGTTTAGCTTGTTTTAATTGACTTGAATTCATGGATGGTCATTTCTTTACTCTAACTCATAATGCTTGACTATGTTTAGAAAGACAAGAAGTGAGATAAAAGCCAATGTTTCTTCATAGTTTCTTTCTTATGGTAGAGCTCAGCATTATGTTCAATTGCTAGTGTTTGGGCTTGGTTGAAGATTCGGTAGCGATTTGAAACCCATGAAAGTTCTCAGTTCTTACTTCTATAATTGGATTTTTTCTTTTTCTATTTAATATTTTGCATGGTTTTTACCTAGTATGTATGATTAAGTAACCTCAAGAGATTTTAGAACATTGGATTGCTGAAGTCATAATATTGCCATCTATGGTGATCCTCAATTTGACAGGACTCTTATTCTAAGCCAAGTACTAGCCGGTTGATGTTCTTTTCTATAAAACTAACTATTTTCTCATTAAACGATTTTGGCCCAAGTGAATGTCTTTTTCAAAAGAATTACACCTTAACTCTTACCAAGGTTTTTACTGCTCTGTGACCAATTCTTGAGGATGGACATTCAATGAAACCATACTACTATCTTTGTTATCTCTAATCAGCTCCATTCCATTGCTTTAGAAGTTTTCCCTTCTCTTATTGATGAGTGTTCTTTCTTTGAGTCTCATGTGGCAGAGCCAGAAAGGTTGATGCATTTCTATTCTGTTTTGCAGTTGAACAGGGAGGGAGTTCTGCTTTTAAGAGGTTTGGACTCGAGGCTCTCCAAGGATCTTCCTTCTGACCTTCAGAAACTTCGATGCAAGGTATTTGAAAGTTTGATGTTACTGGTTTCTTGACTTGCTTTTTAATTTTTAAATGTTGCAGTTGCTCCCTATTGGCAAATCTTGCAACTGTGGTCCTTTCATGAAAACTTTAAGCTCAGTTTGGGAAGAATGAAAATACAAAAATGTACAGTGCAAATATAAAGTTTAGAAATACCGTATACAAGGTTTTGCACTGAACATATTTGTATTTGCACTCTTCCCAAACTGAACCTTAATTAAATTTACTTGTATTTCAATATATATATATATATTTTTTTATGTTTTTTAAGAAGGTGAAAAACTATAGAATGTTTTGGAAATGGAAAAAGTACCAATTAAGACTGAAAGAATTTCTTAAATCTAAATTAAGACATATTTGACTCTTATTTTATCTGTGCATTGCATTAGGTGGCTTTTCATGCACTGAGGTTTGCCCCACCTATTTTGGATCTTGGAAATAAGCTAGCTGAGAGAATGCGAGCCAAGGGGCCATACCTTGCTCTTCATCTACGCCTGGAGAAAGATGTTTGGGTGAGGACAGGTTGTCTTCTTGGATTGAGCCATGAATATGATGAAATCATCAACAATGAGAGAAAGTTGCGACCAGAGTTACTTACAGCAAGGTCAAATATGACATACCATGATCGCAAGCTTGCAGGACTCTGCCCCTTGAATGGCTTAGAAGTTATGAGGTGTGAATTGAAAACCTTTATTTAAAACTTATAGTTGTTATTATCTTATATGGTGTTAATATTAAAATTATTTATCTCATCCTTGCATTATGTAGGCTGCTTAAAGCTCTTGGAGCTCCACGAAATACAAGGATATATTGGGCAGGAGGGCCACCGTTTGGTGGCAAAGAAGCATTGCTGCCTTTAACCAGAGAATTTCCACATTTCTACAACAAGGATGATATTGCTCTGCCGGGTGAATTGGAGCCATTTGCAGACAGAGCTTCAGTCCTGGCTGCTATTGATTATATAGTTTCCGAGAACAGTGATGTCTTCATGCCATCTCATGGGGGGAACATGGGCCATGCAATCCAGGTACTTGCTCCTTCAACATACTACAACTGTACCATCTTTCTATTCAGTTGCATTTCTGGTATTTATAATCATTTTGATTAGGTCACAAATGCATGAAGGATCTGATTCTTTTTTCATGTGGTTAGTGACACAATCAACTAATCAAATGCACAATGAATTTGCTGAATTGTCTAGACTAGTGGTTATGTTTTGAGCTCAAAAGATGAACTTTTCTTTTACTTGAGAACTCTAGGAATCCCGATTTAAGAGTTACTCCAATAATATGGTCAAGTACTGCAAATGGCCTGCTTAGGACCAGTACTTGGCAAAATAAAAAGCAATCTTTTATGCTATTTCTTAATCTCTCTAACTTTAGAGTTTTGTTATTCCACATTAATTAAAGCAGTAATCAAGTTCTGTATTTTTCAATTATTTGTAGTTCTAACTATTAAAAATTTGTTATTTCAACAGGGACATAGGGCCTATGCAGGGCACAAGAAGTATATTACTCCAAACAAAAGACAGATGCTCCCTTACTTTCTAAACTCTTCTCTTCCGGAATCTGAGTTCAACATGATTATAAAAGACTTGCACCGTGACTCCTTAGGGCAGCCAGAACTTAGGACAAGCAAGGTTGGGAGAGATGTGACCAAGTATCCCATCCCTGAATGCATGTGTAATGACACAAACACAAGATCCTTCTCATGATTCAAATATGGAACATTTCCTTTACCGTGGAAGCAGATTGCAACAGGTTGTTTCATCAGAAACTCATGGCATCAATGCCTTGGGAATGCGAGAAGTTCTCACTTTTTAATTTAAGGTGTGCGGCTTCTTAACAATCATTTTTGGAAGGGCGTCTTCTGCAAATACATATTCATGCATACACATACATCACCCACATGTGTATGTATGAATGTGTAAATGAGATGGATATCTCTGTAAAATAACTATATAAAAGGAAAGCCTTTGTTGTTTCAATTTTTTTATTCTTTATTTATATGTAGGGGAATTTTGTGTAGATTTTTTATTTATTTCTTTTTCATTCTTTTACCCACGTTTTATACGTGTATATTTGTAAAGAATAGTATTTTATTGAGGTAATATTTACAGTTGGTATAAGTTCACCAGCTCATTCTTTCATGCTTCTTTTCTTTCTCTTATTCTATTTTCTTTGACTCTGCTAACTGAGTTCTGAAACCCCAATTATAAGATGGGTTGTGCTGTGCCAACTTTAGCTTGGAAATACGGGTGAGTTGGAGAGTGGCATTAATGTGACAGTTGTAGGAAACTGTCTAATCCATTGACAATCTTTCGCAAATTGACGGTAAAACCGTTTAAGAACTTCAATGCTCATATAAAACTATAAATTTAAGCCCGTTATCGATCGGGACTATTGATGAGCCAAGCTGTTTGGCTTTTAATTCCATGTCTCCTGGATTGGGTTGAATGTCTTGTTAAATTTTTGCTAGGTTCAAACTTGTCTTGGGTGGCAGGGCAGCTTGAAGCCTAGAACTGATTTGGCTTATTCAAACCCAAAACTCATATGCTCAGATTTATAACTCTGGAACAAAAATGGCGGAAGGAAATGGAATATTAACAAATAAAATAGCAATAAGCCGTGGTTTCTCTGTAATTGCTTTATATCTATTAATTTAAGAGTTAAGTCGTTCTTGGTTGACAGAGTTTTATGAACATGGTTAGGGTCAGGTGGGTGCTTACATTTCATGATGTTGCATTTATCGATAGTGGAAGTTTTTCCAAGAGTAATTGTAAGCTCAGACCGCCGCCGCTTGCCCTCCAAAATTAAAATATGAAGGAAAGATTATGTAAATTACTAGATTCTTGAACCAAAAGTTCAGTTCATTATTTTTTATTTAAATAACCAGATAAACATCCATCCATATACTGGTTGTGACAACATAAAGTAATTGAACATTATCAACTGAAAGATAAAGGAAAATCTAAATTGAGGTGCTGTTAGGAATTCCCATTCCTGTCAACCCAGGTTTAGAGAATGGCTTCAAAAGCTGATATGGTACAACAGCAGCTCCAGTTCTGTTCTTTAGATTTGTATCTTTGTTTCTTGCATCAATAATTCCCTCTATCTCCTTCATTCTCTCATTAAACTTCTCATATGCCACCTTGATCACTGGGTCCTCAGCCCATGAAGACTCCATCTCACCCCCAAGATATTCCTCATCTGAGGAGTGAGTTGACAGAACGACTAGTATAGCCATCACTAATGTTGCTTGAATTTGGGAGGGATAACACTGCAAGAGTGTGGATTCGGGATTTTTCAAGAAATCCTGGAGTTGTTGCCCTGAAAGGTCTTCATTAGGCATGTTAATCCTAGCAATTGTTGGGCGGTTTGGGAAGTAACCACCATATTCATACTGACCAAAGTTGACAGCAGCGTGGTGACCAGAGGCAACCCAGATGATGGTTGTCAAGATTTCAATTAGATCCCCTGGGGTCTTGAGGACGGGCCACCATGGTTCATCCTTCTTGTCTTCATGGCCTTTGGTCCTCACCTCTGTCCACCAAGCTTGGAGCTCTTGATCAGATTCAATGAGGCTGACATCTTGGTAGTAGTGATTGACATAATCACTAACCCATTGTTTTAAAGCTGTCCAAAGGAGGAGACCATCACTAGCAAAAGGGTAGTCTTCAATCGTCAGTTTCAGACCATATTCGGCTGTTGGGTCTTCAACTGCCATTCCCCTGTGGTAGGTAGTGAAATTGGAGATCAATTAGAACCATTAAACTAGTTGAGTACAACACCCATAATCTGAACATCATCAACCGATGTTGGAAAGTTGGAAACATCTTCATCACTTGCATCAACACTTTGAAATCAATCTTAAGCAATTCTGTTTTGTTTGCTTACCTGCTAACCAGGTCCGCCGGCAGACCCTGCTTGTCGAACCGCCAGAGCTTGTCATAGGCGACCGAGCTAAGTTCCATTGAGTACTTGGCTGTAGAGAAAGAAACCTCGATTATCCCACCTGCATTGATGAGTGCTTCTCGAGCAAGAGCATTGATCTCCATTGTGTATCGGAAATGGGGCTGCAACAATCTATAAATTGGGTGCATTGCACTCAGCTGGCGATTTGAGGCAATAATGTAAGGCTCTATGCTACAATGAGTCCTCAGCCTACAAAGACATCATGGAGGCAATAAAAGTCACATACCTTCTACCATTTGGATCTACGTTTATAAAATTATGGAGGCTGATTTCTTTTTACTATTCTAAACCCATCGATGGAGAGAATATAGGCCAGTTCTGAGTCATCAAACTGCTCTACTTTTCTAGCATTGTTCCAGTTCTCCTTTCTACAAATTGAATTATATTGAAGGTAGGTTGGGGCTCGCCATTAAGGCATTGACAAGTGGGTTCAACGCCAATGGCAATAGGAGCCACATCAACCATCCCATGCTGCTGCCGGGGTGTCAATCGGACCGGATTTGGTCCGATCCGATCCAGTCCAATATGAGTCCATTAAAGATGGATCGGGTCCAATCCAATCCATTCACACCTGTACTCTTATCTTTCTCTATCAATGGGCTGGGTATTGATTCAATCCGACAAAATCCAATGTAAATCCATTATGGATGGACCAGGTCCAATCCAATTCAATAAATACTTTGGACTGGACTGGTCCAATTCAATATGTAGTCTTATTGGTCCATCCAATCCATCCAAATCGATTTTGATTGGGATGGGCTCCAACCCAAAACCGGTCCATTGACACCCTGGCCTACTCCCATGAGCCATGACCCCGTCTTCAGTGTCAAGCTAATTGCTCTTACTTACCAGTGGCTGACGAGCTCATGGTAACCAGAATCGTGGGCGAGGACATGAGCTTTAGCTAGCTTCCACAGCCAAGAGTTGGTGGCATCCACAGTACTAGGTGTGAACACCTGCTTCCACTGGGGCTTATCTTTGCTGGGTGGCCGAGTGAGCTCGATTGCTATAGGTTTTAACGTATCGTCTTGTTTCAGAAAGAACAGCGTCCGTGATCCATAGAGTGTTGTCCCTTCTATCTCTCTTACTTTGTTTACGTAGGGAAGGAGCAGATCGTGATAATCTAAAATGAAGAGTTTCTTACGCTGCAATGCCTGCAGCCACAGAGATCGATCAAGGGATTAATGTATTTTACAAAATGAGTATGTTGTCTGTTTTTCTTTTACCTCGTCAGTGGTCATGATGCCTTTGATTTCTCTCTGAACAAGCTCTGTTGTGATTGCAGATTCAGGTGGACCGTAGATCTCTGGGTCCAGTTTGCTCTTCAATGGCCATTCCTGATCCTGCATGAATTTCCAATTGGGCTCATTTGTGTTCGTCGACGTCAATCCATGTAGCTGTAGCCAGAGGAATAGCTATTGCGATGCCTAGGCCCACTAACATATTTCCACTGTTTGCTAGAACTCGAATCTACTACACCATTCGAAAGTAGCCACGTGGATGATTACTGAGGTACATTCGTGGCTTCACAGTAGCCAGCATGCACCCTCAATCACCTCGTGCCATGTGGCAAAATAAAGGTTCTTCCCTAGGTATAAATAATTAATACACCCAACATGTACCAGAAAAGTGATGAAATGAACATACCGTGACCAACTGAATACCAAAGGGATTGATACCGGCAAGAGTCTGACGAGCAAATTCCTCATCCTTGGCCCAAGCAAAACTGTCTCCTGCAAAAAAATAAAGATGAGGAGGAGAGAGAGAGAGAAGAGATTTAGTGTAGAGAGTGTATTACCGGTCGAGGGAGAGAGAAGAGAGATTACTAACTTTGTATCAATTCAGGGGTATCAAAGTGTAAGAGATCAGCTCCGCCACATGTTACAACGTTGGCCACTGTTGAGACTGCACTTTCCAATAGCGGTTGGTGTTGTTCAAGTGTAGGGATGGGCATCCCTTGGTCGAATAAGCTGTTAATGGCCTCAAAGGACGGGAATCCAAGGCTGGTATCCACGAGGACCCCTTTTATCAGAGGCAGCAACACATTCAGCGCTGACGACACTGTTACACTTGTGAACTCTGCACTCTTTACTTGTGAAAATTGCTCGTCCCTTGGTACATATATGTCGCTACTCCTTTTTTCGGACAATGCATCTACAAGGACGACATTGGATCAATGTTTTTGTCCAAGTAAAAAACAAAGTTGGGGCACATTGGATTTGGACCATATTGAGAGGGGACTGGAGAGGAAATGAAAAGCCCATTTTGGCCCATTCTATTGCATGTCCAAATTCCAATCCAACACCAAGAAAAGGTCCAATGATGAGGGGATAACTTTGGCCCAGCTTTTGAGCTGGGTACGCTCACTTATTCACGCTCATGTCTTTGTTTTTGGTTAAAATAAATTAGAGGGGAATTACTAATTTACTCACTCTCATGGTAACCTGTCATTCCCAAAAACTTTCTCAACAGCATAGGCTGTTGGGGACCAACATGATGAGTTGGTGGAATTTGGATTTTGTCCATCGTCCTCACAGCCTTTTGCAGCTGTGGATTGAAAACATTTCTGTACTTGTATGTTTTTATTCACAGTGAAGCATTCCCAATTGCACAGCTGCAAAGTTTTGTGAGGACAGTGTGAAGATAAAATCCGAATTTGAGTGGGTGTGAGTTTGTATGCATACCTTTTTTGGTCTTTGGACGCCCAGTTCTACAACGCCTAGGATAAGGGAGCTTCTCACCACCAAGGACAGGTCTGGCCAGTTCTTGGCTACTGTCTGGATTTCCAAGATCATTATATTTGTCATAATCGTATATTCTCTCAAAACTCTTCCTTTCTCCCTCCCCATTTCCTCGTAGGTTCTCTAGTTCTTTCTCCCTTAGTCTCTTCAATCCACTTGGTGTCTGTGATGGCAAGTAAGACTGCACCATGCATGGAGATCAATTAGACGGTACGTGTTCAAAATCTAATGGAGAGAGAGAGAGAGAGAGAGTGAGTGAGAGTGAGACCTTGTTGGTGAAGAAGATTCTCTTTTCTGGGTTATCAGACTTGGCATGAACCCAAGAGTTGCAAGCAATGGTGATGGGAGAGCCAGAAACGGTAGTGAGAACAATGTTGTGTAGGAAAATCTCTTTGTGATGTTCATTCTCCACAAGAACTGCTCCGACATCACCGAAACTCCAAGGAATTTTGAATTCACCTTGGTACTTCACATTCTCCCCCTCTTTGCTTGACCTCTTTGCATATCCTTTTATTGGCATTTTCTCCAATCCCGTCCCTTCAAAATTATATATAATTAACAATAAAAATACACTACCACTGTTAGGATCAATGAAATTAAATTTGTCTTCAGGGATAAATCTAGATCTCAACCAATCAAATTGAAGTTTATTTTTAATTTATATTTACAAAATATATTTTCATTTTTAATAAGATGTACTTACCATTATATTCAATCAATTAAATCTTTTACCGTGCTATTGCACGGTAAATTTTTCCTGAAGATTGATTTTCCTTAATAAACTCTACTACAACTTCTTTTTTACTAGTCTAACTAGGGAAAGGAAGCAAGCTGATGCAGGAATATGCAATTGGCGGACCAATCTTGACTCGTATGAACTTTGCCACATAGCCAAAATTAATACCCACCATCATATTAATGGGTCTACGCCTAGAAGTGGAGTTAAACTGGGAGCAAAATTAGATCGACTTCATTATATTTTGGTTTTGGACGTGGAAGAAAAAAGTTAGGACAATACATTGAAAGAAAGCTCTTCACTTTTTTTTTTTTTATGTGGGCTCTTTCCTCTAATTAAGTGGGTCTCCTCCAATTAAGCTACGAGCCCTATTCTGCAACTACATATGTGTAGGGGTGGCAATATTTGACCCCAATCCACCTGCTTAAAAACCCACCCATTTAAGATGGGGAGAATGAGGGTTCAGACCAGGGTCAGAATTTTTAGGCCTAAAGTACATTTGGGGTAGGTGTTAATTCAGAATTGATGCTAATTCATGGGCAAGCATTGATGTGTAGAATGGGGGTATTTGACATTTTGAACGTTTATAATTCTGCAATGGGATTCAGAAATCTGCAATGGGTCTGTCTGCACTTCTCCCTTTAAGATGAGGGTCATTATGGGTTGAGTCATCCATTTGGGTTAGGAGAAGAGGATCAGCATGGGTTGGGTCGAGGGTACCCATTGGGTTGTAAAGGGTTAGGGTCAGTTGGGTTGAGGGGAGGGTCGAAACTGTAAGGGAAAAAGGTCAAGCTGGTAGTGGAGTCTCGATTGTGTTGTTCTCTGTACTACCAAATCGCCAGGTTGAGGGGAGAAAGGTCGCCATTCTCATCAAAACCACCAGTGATTTTCTCCCTTCTCTCTTCTTTCTTTTTCTCTCTGTCTCTCTTCCTCTTCTTCTTCCAAAGGTTGTGCTTGCATAGTAGATCTCTCCATGCTTTTTCTGCCATTAGAGAGGTTGAGTTCGCATTACACTTTCTGCCATGGCAGAGGTTGCATCCAATATTAGATTCGCACTAAATCTGCTTCAAACCCAGATTTGTGTTCATTGTCTTCCTCTATTGAAGTTAGGGTGAAGACATATCTGGGTTTGAAAACATAGATCCACCGCCTGTAAGGGAAGAGATCACAAATAAACTTCATCATTTTCGTATGTGAATACAGATCTGGTTTCGCTAAACAGATCCACTGCATGTAGAGGAGGAGATCAAGCTAGATCTCGTTCAAACCCAAATTTGTGTTCATCGTATTCCTTGGTGAAGACAGATCTGGGTTCACATGTAAAGAGGATGAAATATGATATATTTTTTCAAATTCTCTTATACTAGCAAAGGGGGCCCTGCATTGCAGGGGCTCGCTCATAAATTATCAGGCTTAAGCTCAATTTGAATTAGAGACTTGAGCTCGAGCTTGAGCTTGGCTCGAGTCAAAAGCTTCAAAGCTCGAGCTTGAATACCTTTGAGTGTAGGTCTCTCAAGCAGCCGAGGTGCCAAACCAAGGTGCCAAGCTAAGGTTTCCCTAGTAGGCGAGGTGTCGAGCTAAGGTCTCCCTTAATTGACAAGGTGTCAAGTTGAGGTCTCCCTCAGTTGTCGAGGTGCTGAGCCAAGATTTCCCTCAGTGACCGAAGTGTCGAGCCGAGGTCCCCCTCATTGGTCAAGGTGTCGTCTAGCTCGAGCTCGATTGGAATTAGAGACCTGAGCTCGAGCTCAGAAGTTCGAGCTCGACTACCTTTGATTGCAGGTCACCTAGCAGCCGAGATACCGAGTTGAGGTCTCCTTCAATTGGAGAGAGAGTGGCATTCATGTATTTACAAGGAGAGAGAGGGCATTCTTGTAATTTGTAAGAAAGAGGGAGAGAGAGTTGGTAGGAGAGAGTAGCATTCTTGTAATTCGAAAGAAATAAAGCAAGAGAGAGAGAGAGTTGGTAGGAGAGAGTGGCATTCTTATAATTTGAAAGAAAATAAAAACAAAAGAGAGAGTTGGTAGAGAGTGTCATTCTTGTAATATGAAATAAAAAAAAAAGCAAAATTTAATGTTAGATTCCATTTCTTGGCTTCTTAGGTGTTATTTCGTACACATTCCAACTTAATGTATTTATATTGATTTTCTTATGTTTTTGAAATTTTCTATTAATTCAAAAACATGATGGAAACTTTTATCAAAAAAACCCACACTCCCAATGTAGATTTCTGATTTCCATTATAGAGCTATAAACATTCAAAATGTCAAAAACCCACACTCTACACATTGATGCCCGCCCGTGAATTGGCTTCAATTCCATTGAACCGTCATTCTCCCAATTTATCAATTTTTGTAATTTTCCTACACTTTTTATATTTGGTTTCTTGTACTTTTGTTATTTATTTGCATTTTTGCTTTATTATTTTTTTTGTTTTTTCTTGCAATTTTTATATTTTTTTCCAAATTTTTTATGTTTCCTATAATTTTGTATTTTCTTTGCATTTTATCACTTTTCTAAATGTTTCATAATTTATGTTTCTTTTTTTACATCTTATACATTTTCCTGATTTTTTTGTTATTTATTTACAATTTTTGTGTTTTTCTATATTTTTATAATTTCTTTGGTTTTTATGTAATTTCTATATTTCATATTTTATATTTTTCTAAATTTCTGCATTTTGTATTTTTTTACAATTTTGTATTTTTTTTTACAATTTTCTGTTTTTATGTGAAAATGTGAAATAATGCTTTCATTTAAATTTTTTCAGAAAGTACAGACAGGCCCGTTGCAGATTTCTGAATCTCAATGCAGAACTATAAACATTCAAAATGTCAAATACCCCTACCCCCACTCTACATACCAATGCCCGCCCGTGAATTAGCATCAATTCCAAGCTGGCACCTATCCCAAATGTACTTTGAGCCTAAAAATTCTGACCCTAGGCTGAACCGTCATTCTCCCAAATTTTTTCTATAATTTGTTATGTTTTATATTCATTTTCAGTGTTTTTGTGCATTTTTATTTGTATGTTCTCTTAGTTGATATTAAATAGAGAAAAAATAAAAAAAAAAATGCCACAGTTTGGGTTAGGGTGGGTCAAATGGGTCATATGGGGGGGTCAGGGGTCAAGGTGGGTTGTGACCCACTAACATCAATAAATATGGATGGAAAATGGGTTGGAGGGTCAAATTGGGTCGGTTGATACTCAACCTACACCCAACCCAACGCACCCATTTGCTACTCCTAAATATGGGCATATAAAATTGGTTCTCCTTCCAAATCATGGGTATTACATATTAAATTTTATTGATTAGGTTCCATTTGGAAGAGTGAAAATAAATATGTAGAGTGCAAAACCCTATATTTTGTATTTACATTGTACTTATTTGTATTTGTATTCTTTTCAAGGCTATTTAAGAGAGAGTGTAAATACAAATATATACAATATAAAATCTTGTATACAGTATTTCTAAACCTTTTATTTGCAAAGTTTACATATTTATATTTGTACTTTTCCCAAATTGAGCCTTATGTTGTATTTTTCATGAAAAACTTTATTCACTACCATGAAATATACCTAAAAATTATATCATTTCTCTCCTAATGTTCCTATTTATATTTGTCTTCATGAAATTAATTGAATTTAATTTTATAATTAATTCAATTCCTCTCATAATATGTAAAATACATCATAACAAACCAATTTATAATTAAATATACAAAAGTAATACATGGTGTAATAGACCCACATCTTCAAATCATTTGATTCTATTAATCTTTTCCATATTAATTTGAGATTATGGATGCAACAATATTCATATAAAATTAAGTAATCTATATTTTCTAAGAGGAAAAACAAGCCAATTTAAAATAGGATATCGATTTTTTTTTTCTTTTAGTATTTGGTGCCACACACCACTAATAACCCCCATTTTCTCCAAATTGGTGGTTGCTAAAATCGATTTTACGTAAACTCCAACGAGCCATCCCTCAATTTGCGAACTCTGAATTGAGCAGTTGAGGCGGATTAGTATGATGAAGATATATTTGCAGTTATATTGAACCCGACTTTATTTCGGGTTGGGTTGGGTTGACACTCAGGTTAGGGTTAGGGTTGAGATTCATGAACCCAACTTTATTTCGGGTTGGATTGGGTTAGGGTTGATTCCTTGGGCAACCCAACCCAACCCAAACCCGGCTCTCTAGTATATGGTTATATATAAATATATGTTATATCATACATTGATTTTTTAGATGTATGATAGTTGTATAGCCCTCATTACATACTATCATGTCTTTCTTTTAAGATAATCACTTCACTTAATCCTAAATGAAAAGACTAAAACCTAAATAACATATTTTATATTTTTTGAATATTTTATTCTTCATCTCCTCTCTAATGTTTGGCACCTACAAAAGATTTGTCACAAGTCATAACTCAGTAAACTATAGTCATTTCAAACACTTATTTTTTCGATTTTGTACCAAAAGAACCAATAAAAACATTAACAAACAAATACTAATAAAACATAGGATTAATATATATAGTGAAAAGTGAGTTAAGATTTGAAATTAAATAGTTTTATAAGATTTTAAGGGATGGGAAAAAGGTTTGGTTGGCCCCAACTCGAGCCCAGTCCAATCCAAAGTCGAATTAGGTTGGGGTGAGTTAGGGTTGAAGGAATTTAGTTAGGATTAGATAGATCAAGTTGAAGGTCGGGTTGGGTTAGGGTTTAGAAGTTAGAATTAGGTTAGATTTGACCTCAACGCAACCTAACCTGACCCGATTTGCAGCCCTATTAATACCCCTCCTGTCTTGCCAAGCCCTAAAATGATGGTTTTTAAACTTAGAAAACACAGGATATTGTACCAAATCCCCATAGCTGAATGACTGATCAATTGGCATCTTTCCAAATATGGAAGCGTCGGATCAAGCCCATATGGCTGCAAGCTCTTTGTGATAAGGTTAGTGGACCTCCCACGCCCATGCTCTATTGCAATTTTTGTCCACTGCCCAAATAATTGCTTTAAAAAGGGTATTTTGATATGATGTGGCTCATTGAATGCTTCTTTCTGATCATCTAATTTAGGGACACATATGCCAATGTTCAAATTGAAAGCAAGCTTTCAATTAAGTAATGAAATATATATATATATATATATATATATATATATATATATATATATATATAAACCTTGGAGAGTCCATTATCCCTAAAATGGGGGTCCCCAACATTGTTAGAAATTAATTCGGATACAATAAAAATTTGTTGAGAGAAAGTTTGTGTTTAATTCATTTTCAAGATTAAAAAAATTTGTTTAAAAACTTAATAAACAATTGGAAAAAAAATACATGCTCATGGATATTACATTTTAATTTTAAAACTTTGGCCTTTATGGAGGTAATTTGTTCCGATTTGCCAATTATATGTACATGAAATATTAATGTTATCTAAATTATATAAATAAAATTTTAATTAAACAATAAATCCTTTATATAAACTGTATAAAATCTCAACTAATTGATAGCCATGGTTGTTTGCTGAGTTTTGAGAAATTTCATAGAATTAATGGACTTTTCAAAATTATATAATTGGGGAATTTTCCAACAATGAACCCAACCACGGAATTAACTAAAAAAGAACAGCATTAAAAGTATTGGCAATTAACTATATTTATTAACCTTTCTTTCATGGATTTTGAAGGAATTTCCTTCCGATCGAATTCTAACGAAGCTGCCGCGGACGAGTGATGGAAAACAAAAATAAGAGATTGACCAGCAATCTTAAGGTCATCCTGATTTTTGGTATGAGCTAGCGATGCATTGGTCGCTTCAGAACAAGAACAGGCTGCTGGTGAGTGGTGAACCAACCATGTTTAGAATTTAAAACAAACCCATTTTATTTCCTGATTTATTGGGCATTCGAGCTCGAAATCTCATTAAAGACAGAAAGAAGGGATAGTTAATTTGTTAGCTTTCTAGATTTTGATGCCAATGAGGATTATGAACTACATGTTATATGGCTTACAGAGTATTCTCACAGAGAGAGAGAGAGAGAGAATCAGCAGGGTCATTAAACGTATTAGTTATTTATTTAGTGATAAACGCAGAGGGGCTCTTCTCTTACGAGTATTTGCATCAGATCCGGTGGTGATATTCTTATTTAGCTCCATGGTTCAATTGGAAATTGATAGCAGAAATTCAGTATTGTTGGAAGGCTCAGTTTAGGAAGAGTGAAATGTAAATATGTACAGTACAAAATACTGTATCTGTACTCTTTCCAAACTGAGCCTAAGCAGCAACGCAAGGGTGGATTGCATGTGATGGAACTTCCTTTCAGAAGCACAACAAAATGGGGATTTCAGAGAGGCTAATTAAAATCTGAGATAGCTAGTCTGGTGAATTGTTCATTTTATCTACACATAATTAATAAATGAAGGCTAATTTCACACTAATCGTTGTTTAATTGTTACTTACTTGGTTCGAGCTCTGTGCTAACAAGCTCCAAAAGAAGGCTTTTACCCTTCAAATCCGTGACGCTGTCATGCAGTTGGTCCAACCCCACGTTTGACAACAAACCACCGTCTGTAGTCCGTTTTCCGGTGACGACCACATTAACTGTAACCAACTTTCCGGTTGAAGTTGCTGCTACTTCTTTCGTGTCAATATTTGACAACATTTTTGCCTCTAGTTTGGGGAAGATGGAGCTAATTGAGGACTCACTCAGGGAAGGAATGAAAGCTTTTTCGATCAGTTTGGCTTACAAACTCCTTCAATGATCTCCAATGAAGTGTTAAGCTCTCAGTTCGTCAGTTCCTTTTTTTTTTTTTTTTATAGCTAGGTACTGCTAACGAGACATTGAAATGGAATAGGTTTTCGTCATTGATATGGCTTATTACGTAATTGCATGTGAAAATTGTTGTATTACTTGTTTTAGGAATTTAAAAGGACCGATTTCTTGTCATTGTTAAATACCTACCATTTTTCTCTATTCATATATTAAGATTATTTGAACCGAAAAATAATTTTATTTTTAATATTTTCCATCCATCTTGGTAAGACAATATATATATATATATATANTATATATATATATATATATATATATATATATATATATATATATATATATATATATATAATGCATCCACCACAAAATACACTTTAACAAAGTGATCAGTTAAGATGTAGATTTTTGTGCAGCCAACATTAATGAATTGATCTTCAAAACTAACTTACAAACTTGAAACCATGGTTTTCAAAATCGATTGGACTGAAAAAACCTGGAATCGGTCAAGTGATCGGTTTCGATTTTCTCCAAAATTGAAAATTTGCAAAAAAAAAAAAACATCACTGAACTGGGCAGTTAAACCCTTGAACGGTTTTGACCATTTTTATATTTTATATTTTTGTCAGAATAGGCTGACCATTCGGTTCAAACGGTCAGACCGTTCAACCCAAGAACTGGACCCCTGACCGGTTTGTTCTCCGAATCAATTTTAAAAACCTTGCTTGAAATTACGTAGCAGAGGTGGTTGCCCTCACAATAACTCAATTTGGTGAGTAATCTCCTAAGGACCATAGTCGGGGCTTAAATAAGTCGGCTCAGTTCTGATTCAAATTCAAATTCGATATGATAAGAGCCAGATTCAGATTCCTCCCTTATTCTTAATAAATAGGATTGGGTGATTGGATCAAAAAAGTCAATCTGTTTAGTTAATAGATCGAATTCAGATATATCATAACAATATATCAAAAAAGTCAATCCGTTAGATATATTATATATTATATAATTATATAATATAAATAATAATTATATCATAAATTTTTTATTACAATTCTAATCAAATTGGATATCCAAAATAAGATATTCAAATTCAAATTAAACTTTTGAAAATCCAACATATTCTTATCGATCGGATTTGTTATTAGATGGAATCAAATATACCTATTATCAAATTGATCTGATCCGAGCCATAGTCATAGTCATGTAGGTAGGAGATGCAAACACCATTTGCTATGGCATGGTGATTTCAGAAATTCTCATGAACCAACAAATGTTGAATTAGATAAAGTGGCATCATGGTGGGGCCAAAACAATATTATATCTAAGTCCATGATTTAGCAAAAAATCGAACTCCTAAGGTCTCCATATGTGTGGAGGACTCTATTCTCTATATGTAGGTACGTGTTCGTTGTGTGATTAATTACGTAGACATAGTGGGTGTGGACCATTTGGTTAGGTTATCTACCTCTTTAATGCACTGTGTGGCTGTGGCCCAGATTCTGCAAATTTGAATATATTTTGCAAGTAGAAAGGGATTTTGTACGAGTTTTGAATGTACAAGAGAAATGACAATTCTTTGAATTTTGCCAAACACAACTAATTATGAGATGTCTGAAAGTCATATATCTTAAAAAAAAAAAAAAAACATATATATAAGCTAGTGATCGATAGAACAACACATCACACGTTTGCATCAAACATTTGCTAGCCACTAACTCACATTGATAGATATTGCAGCTGGTTAGCTGGAAATTTAGCCTATTTTTCCCTCCTATTAGTTTAAATTATTGATTGGAGTGTGGATAAAATGGGCATTTTATCAAAAGAAAATGAAAAATTAAAAAAAAAAAAAGTTGACAAAAATTACAATAACCATGAGGAAGTTAGGGATCATTGCTTGGTTTAATAGTAAAATCAGGAGCTTACAAACATGAATATGGGTTTGAGTCTGACAGTGTTATTCAGTTTCACCCCCTCTAATTAAGCTAGACTGGAGTAATGGTTGTTTAGTCCCTTCCTAATTAGCCATTGTTTAATATTTTTCTGCTTTTACTTTCTTGGTAAGAAGTATCTTTCAAAGTGGCAGTTATGTAACGCAAGAGAAGTCTATAACAAAAACAGCAAAACTAAACTTCTAAAATTCTTTCTGCATCTTAATTAATTTAACTAATGAAACCTCCAATTTAAGATTGTAATCGTGAAAATTAATTTTTGCTAGATTAAATTAAAAACCTTCGAACTTCTAAAATGATCAACATGCAGCCAATCCCATATTGTTGGGACAAGTCTAAGATGATGATAAATATAAAAAGCTCCATCGGTTAACTAAAAATCTTTCCAAATCCTAATATAGCATAATTAGAAAGAGAGAGATGTAAATTATTGGAGAATTTTAAGGGTGCAAGTTGGGTGGGTTGGGCCGAGTTTATGGTCAATCCAAGACCGATCCTAAAATTTGGGCTTAAGGCCCGAGTCCGAAGTCAAACCATATCTTTTCAACCTGAGCCCAACCCGTATTATAATTTAATGCATTCGAGTTGGGCTCGGGTTGGTCAATGAACCAATTCTAAAATTATATATTATATATGTATTTAAGTAAATATGTATGAAAATTTCAGGTTAGGTCAGTTCGAGTTCAGGCTAGGCCCGCCCAAATTGCACCCCTAGAGAATTTGCTTGCAGAACTTGATGATATTATTGCTTGGATTAGGCAGGTGCACATAAATGCAAAAGAATCAGATATCTATACTATATAAAGCAGACACTTGCCTTGGTTTTAGTATAACTTATAAAATTAAAATCAAATACCATATATCATATCATATGTGGTTAATATTTAATTGTACAGGTGCAAAACACTTGCTCTTATACTAGTTACTACTAAATCAAAAAAATCACGTGGCCTTGATTTCAATGTAGCTTATAAAAATAAATCCAAATACCATATATCATATGTGGTTAACTATAAGCTAGGGATCATTGCATATTGCATGCAAATGGTCAAAACAAATTTCGCTCCTTCCATCAACGAGCCATTTCTTTTACACTGTGGCAAGGCTATACCTCCTTGGTTCTTTTTTTTTTTTCTTTTCTTTTGAATTTTTTTAATGTTGGATGAGGTGAGTAGGTGGGTAAAATACAAAAACAATCATAAAAATTTTTCTTATAGTTTCATTTTAACAAATACCTCCCCTAAACTTTTGAGAAATTCAACAAAAAAACTTCCTTCCCTCACCTTTCCAGATGGAAAACGTTTGACTGATGCATCATTTTTTTCCAAATGCCCGCTCTACCCTTTTATAAATTATTTTATATATAAAATTACTGAAATAACCCTGTTTTAATTTGACAAAACCTCCTTTAACAGTCATCTTCTAATGTTTTTGTCAAGTTAAAGTAGGGCTATTTTAATAATTTGCATAAAAAAATAATTTATAAAAGTGTAGAATGGGTATTAGATAAAACTAGTGCATCAATCTAATGTTTTCCATCTTGGAAGTGTTAGAAGGGAGGATTTTGTTGAGTTTCTTAAAAGTTCAGGATGGTATTTATTAAAAAAAAAAAAAAAAACTGTAAAAGAGGTTTTTATGATTGTCGGAAACTTCAGAAGGTTTTTGCATTTACCCTAACATCTACATGAAAAAGCAGAATCACCTATTTAATGAAGGCACAAAATAGAAACAAGAGAAGTGTGGGACCAACCCATTTTTGGTTAACCTGGCCTGAGCCATCAACCCGGCCCGGCCCACTTTGGTCCCATTGTTCCGACCACTGTGCAGTATTTTCTAAATTCTATTAAAACTTTTCCAATGGTTTTAAATGTCTGAAATTGGAAGGAAAGTGTGTATGTGTTGGGGGATTCATTGAGTCGCATGGAGGATGAATTTTAGAGGAAATTAGGTTTCGGGCACAATCACCAATAAGCCCTGATAGGACCTTGGTACTGGCCTAGTTTTGCCATTTCCCAACCACCCAAGAGGATAAAAAAAAACCCATGTCTCACGTTATTGACTATGTGCATTGCTTTTCCCCAACAAATGCGCTACAATACGCAGCTGGGTTAGCAGTTCCCCCAAACCATCTCCCACCTTCCACAATGGGCTGACGCTTGGTGTATATCTTTTTGGTGGGGAAGAGCCATGGTTTAGGTTGTGTTTGGTATGCATGGTTCCCATTTCAGGCTCTAAATGTTAGAAGGAAAAAAAGTTTCAAATGTTAAAAACGGCAACAAACATATCATATTAAGATATTATCAATAAAGTATATATCCCTTTTGACATAAAACTTGTTTGGTTGGTGAATAATTGTTTCGAGCAGTTATGTCTTTGGCATTGTCTACCTACAACACATTACCTCCGTATATTGGGAACATCTACCCGTGTATTGTATTATTTAGCAAGATGAGATGCTCTTTCACGTGTGGCTGTTGTGTTCTGTGGATAGACGTGGACAGAGTTTTTGTAGGCAGGAGATGGGGACTCTTCAGGTATTAGATGGTGCATGTTCTAGGGATCTTTTGCTAGTATGGGATGCATCAGAGTATATCATTACACTGTCATGTCATGTAAGATGCCAACTAAGAACCGGCTCATCGGACCCAATGCCCGTGGCTTACTAGAAACGTTTCATAGCTGTTTTAACTTTTAACTCAAAATAGCCTCAGTCTAAGCTTAATGATTACTTTCAACTTGAAATCAACCCCAGCACTAGTTTTTATTAGACCGTTTCAATGCAACTTATAGAAGAAATTGGTTGAATCAATTTAGACTGATTTGGTTCATCCCGATTGGTTTATTGTTTACACCAAAAGTTTTGTTTTAATAGACCTGTTGCTCTTCTATATTTTGGCCCATTGAAGCCCATTATCGTTTCAGCCCATTTAAAAAATAAAAAAAGCCGTGCTTATTAAGGCATTTTGATGACCCACATGGTCTTTATTGGATCTGTTGGCCCATTTTTCATCCTCACCCTATGTAGCTCATTCTCGTGTTGGCTCAAGAAACTAGCCCATAAAGGCATTTTTGGTTGACCCGTTGAGGTCTATTGTTGGCCTATTTTGGCCAATCTATCCGTTTGTACTCAGCCCATAGAGGCTGAGTCTCTCTCTCTCTCCTTGAAAAAGCAGCAATGCTACCACATTACCATGTCATCATTGATTTGCCACATCATCATCACCACGGCCTTGGAGACTTGCACACATAATTACACTGCAGCAGTTTTGTCAAACGCATGAAGATCATTGACCCACATGCATTTGAGGGCACGAATTAGGGAATATCTAACATTAGGTTATTATGATAAGATTAAGTGGGTTATGATGATAAGGATGGCATTAGGAAGATAGAATTTTATCTAAATTAGGAGTTATGAGTTATATTTGCTATAACCTCATATTGATCAATGCAATATTTTTCAGCTTCTCTATGAAGCCTTGCAATATCCCTTGATTGTATTCATTTCTAACCCCATCCCTTAAAAAAAAAATAATAGCAATGAAAAAGGGCAATTAGTCTGATGGAGATTTGAACTCTGAATTGACCAGCTGTGACGAATTAGTCTGATGGAGATTAATTAGAAGCTATCTTTCCTGTTATGGTCTATATTGGTACACCCCGGATCTCTTATACTTAAGGCTTTTATGCTACGCCTAGTACAAACTTAAATGTAAAAGACCAAAGTTCAAAATATTGTAATGTATTGATGTATACTATATGATATGTGTTGGCTTTTAAATCCACCAAGGAATTCGCATGGGTCTTTAAGTTTAATCATTAGTATCCCACCTGAGAAAATCATTCCGGAGAGAGGAATAAGGCAGGGGATCAAATCCCTTACCCCTCTATCTTTTCATCCTGTCCTTTGAGATGTTTTTTGCCAGTCTGACAGACTTGGTGCAAAATTCAAAAATTTCAGATATCAAGTTAAATGCTCATTATATCTTTACCAGAGTTTCTCTCCAGGAAGGGGCCCATGTGGTGGAAGCCATTCAAAAATATGAGCATGCTTCTGGACAACAAGTGAAGTTTGCAAAATCTGAGGTTTTTTTTCAGTTCCAAAACCCACCCTAGATTCATGAAGATAATAGCTAGGAGCCTGAGAGTTAAAACTTGTGAGGAGTCCATCCAAGTATTTAGGTCTGCCAACCCCCTTCAATAGATCAAAAACAAATCTATTCTCCCACTTGGTAGAGAGGGTGCAGAATAAAACAAATGCTTGAAATGAGAAGTATCTCACCCAAGCAGGAAATGAGGTACTCCTGAAATCAATAGTTGCAGTTATACCAACTTACTCCATGTCATGTTTCCTACTCCCAAAGAAAATTTATAATGAAATTAACAAATTTCAAAGATCTTTTTGGTGGGGGAAGAACTCGAATGAGAGAGATAAGATCCATTGGTTATCTTGGGATACCCTAACAAAAATCAAAGGCAATGGTGGTTTGGCAAAATTGGCTTGGAGACTTGTAAACAAAGAGGATAGCCTTTGGGCTCGTGTCATTTAGAGCAAGTATTTCAAAAACAAAAATTTTCTAAGAGACAAGTTGCCTTCCTCTTGGGGCTGGAAGAGCATTATGCAAGGAGGGAAATAGTGCTTAAAGGGGCTTGTTGGTTAGTCAACAAGGGTAGAGACATCTCCCTTTGGACCGACAGGGAAATAGTGCTTAAAGGTCTTGGAATGTTGGGGTAATTCAAAGCCACCTGAGTGAAACCTTTGCAGATCAAATTGTAAAGTTGAACTTAGCTAGGGGAGATTGGGAGGATGTCTTAGCTTTGACCCCGGACTCCAAGGGTAACTCTAGTGTTAGGTCGGCCTATTTCATAGCAAAACAAAGGCTGATCACAAAAAATAAAAATAAAAAAAAAAATAAGAATGCCCTTGTGTCAAATAGCACCCTCTGGAAACTAATATGGAAAATCCTTGCAGAACTGAAGGTAAAAATCTTCCTGCGGAAATGTTGTAGAAATGCACTCCCGGTAAGTTCAAACCCGGTGAATAGGAAAATTGTCAACACTGATGTTTGCAGACTGTGTGGTAAAACTACTGAGATGTTTTTCATGCTTTGTGCCACTGTGAGTTGGCTAAGAAGGTTTCGTTTGGGAGATACTTCAATGCTAGAATGGATGTTTATCCTCAAGACATGTCTTTCAATGATTGGTTCCTAAATTGGATCCAATCCTGTAAAGTTTTGAAGGAAAACTCAGTCAACCTTCTTCAAAGCACTGCCTACTTGCTATGGTTTATATGGAAAGCTAGAAATAAAGTCTTATTTGAAAAAGAAGGCTTCAATGCAAAAATGATTTTGTTGGATGTTTGCAGGCAATTGCGCTGCTAATGATAAGGACTTGGAAGAGCTCCTCCGAAGGTATGAGTGCATCTGAGATACCCCAGAGTCCAAACACTTTTTGGGTACCTCCATGTGCAGGACAAGTCAAAGTAAATGTCGATGGAGGCTTCAGACAAAATAACTTAGGAAGCTTTGGTGTTGTAATCCGAGATCACAGTGGTTTTTGTGTGGCGGCCTGTTATGGACTTATTTTTGTTGCCTCAGCTCTCCAGGCTGAAGCAATTGCATCGAGGCAGGGATTAGACTTGGCAAAAATGGCTGGCTTCTCCAGCTGTGTGCTTGAATCTGACTGTCAGGAACTTCTAAATGCTATAAAAAACAGAGCAAATTTGGTGTCTCTTTTGAAGGATATTGTGACTACTACTGAATCTAATTCTGTTATTTTTCTCTTTTGTGAACAGGAGTTGTAATAGTTGTGCGCATTTAATAGCCCATAGTGGTTTTCAGGATTGGGGACTATTTATCTTTGACTGTCCTGAATGGATTCAGTCCCTTGCAAGTTCTAATTCTACTTAACCTCTCATGGTTCTTGTACTTGCTTTGTTTTTCTCTACTTAATGGATTTCTTTTGCTTGGTACCCAAAAAAAGTATGCCTCATGTGTTGTAAAGCCCTAAAATGACCGTTTGAAAAACTTGGGTCAATTAACATCGTTCAGAATGTTGAGGCGCAAGCTCTGTGATAAGATCAACAGGCCTAATATGCACTTGCTCTGTCCCTACCTCCTTAATTTTCAGAGCTAAAAGGTTTGATTGCAACTTTTGTCCACTACCCAAATAATTGCTTTAAAAAGTGCATTTTGATAAGGTGCGACTTATTGAATGCTTCACCCTCATCATCTAATTTAGGGACGTACTCATGAATCAGTACTGAACCTAGTAATAAGTTCTAACACTGTAATTAGCAGTGGCAATTGGGCGGGTTGGGTTGAGTTGGGTTTGGTTTGGTTTGGGTTGAGCTTTAACTCAATTCATCTAACCCACCAACGCATTAATGACAGTTATATAAAATTAAATGGGTTGGGTTCAACCCAAACCCGCTTTAACCCTCTTGACAAATAAATTGGTCATACCTTGGTGGTAATAGTAGTGGCTATTTACACAAGTGGTGAAAGTTCAAATCGCTTCACATGCATGTTATTTTTACAGAAGCAGTGAAGCCACTTGACTATGTTCGGGTTTCGGGTTTGACCGAACCACTTAGGTTCAAACCGGTCAAACCAACTTGAACTATCTAATTGGGTTGTCTACGAGCTAATCACATCAATAGTGGTTGAATCGTTTAGATCTGGATCAATACGATCAAACCAGATTGAACTGGTCCATTCAATGGCGGATTAACTTGGACCGGCCCATATCAGGTTTGGGACCGAACCGACTAACCCGAAGCGGGTCAAGAGAAGTAAATCAGGCCGATCCGGATTCGGTTCGTGTTGTGCAAATGCGGGTCAGCCTGAACGATTCGAACTGGGCAAAGCAAGCGAGGCGGATTTCAAGTTGGGCAGCCACCCCGCCCGGACCCGTTTCAAATTCGAGTCGACCCGGATCAACATGTACTTGGTCGGGTCGGGTTCGGACTGGGCTGGCTGACCCAAACGAACTGAACCGAGGTGATCGGGTCTGTTCATATTTAGACCGAGTTGAGCTGGTCCGGACTCGGGTCAAGTTGATTTGGATTTATGTTATTTAGGTGAAGTGTGTTAATTCGAGACAAAACTAATTTTAGTCAATAATTAATAGAAAATTAATGCATTAATAACAAGATTTGAGAAATGAACTCTTTGGCATCTATATCAACTATATAGAACGTACTCTTCTTTCTTACACTAGTATACTTTAAATGGAGACACTATTTAGGAACTCCGGTTGCAGTCATTCCAGGTTTGGAGTATGGCTTCAACTGGTCATATGGTGCAATTCCAGCACCGCACCTGTTCTTGAGCCTCACATCATTGTTCCTCGACTCTATAATCTCTTCTATCTCCTTTAGTTTACTATTGAATCGTTGGAATGCCGCATTTATGAAGGGATTCTCAGACCATGATGGCTGAATTTCACCCCCTATATATATATATTCTTAGTCCCATGAGTGAGTAGATAACACATAAAGGACAGCCATCACCTTTGTTGCTTGAATCTGTGAAGGGAAACATTGCAAGAGTACAAGCTCAGGCCTCCGTAGAAAGTTTCTAAGGTTTTCTTCTAATGGGCCTTCTGTGGGCATGTTCATTCTGGCTATCATTGACCGACTTGGGATATAACCGGCAAAGATGTGCTCACCAAAGTTGACAGCAGCGTGATGGCCAGAAACAACCCAAATGATTGTTGTCAAGATTTGGATTAGATCATCTGGAGTTCCAAGGATCGGCCACCATGACTCGTCCTTCTTGTCTTCGTGACCTCTCGTTCGTACTTCTGCCCACCATGCTTGGAGTTCATAATCTGCTTCAATGAGACCATTATTCGGATAATAATGGTTAACATAGTCACTCACCCATTGCTTAATGGCATCCCAGAGTAGAAGACCATCGGCAGCAAAAGGGTAATCCTTGATCGTCAACCTTAAGCCATGCTCTGCACTTGGATCCTCAATCGCCATTCCTCTAATACAAAATAAACCCAAGTTTCGATTAGAAACTGAGCTTACATTTGTAAGATGGGCATGCACCATTACTTCAATTAATGCTTGAAAATTAACATAATAGTAGCTTAAGAAAATTAAACCATCAATTGGAATCTGAATCAGAATGGTCTATTTTCATAATCTGTTTGATTCAAATGAGAATTAGAATCAATACTAGAATGGGATCGGAGGAGGAGAGAATGGCCATTCCTTCAAATGGATGGGTGGAATGGGAATGGAATTCCAATTCTACCCAATCAACCAAACAGTTGGTGTAGTTGGTGTGGTCATTTCAATTCTGATTCCAGATCGACTCCTATTCTCACAAACTAAACAGGCTAGGCCCTAATATATTTTCAATTTAATCAATCAAGCTACCTTCCTAGGCAAGGACTCGATCCATGTCAAAACGCCACAGCTGATCATAGGCCACAGAGCTAAGCTCCATGGAATATTTGTGTGGTGAGGAGCTCTCAATGACCCCACCAGCATTTATTAGGCTTTGTCGAGCAATGGCATTGATCTACATTGTGTACCGGAAGTGAGGCTGCAACAATCTATAGATAGGGTGCATTGCACACAGTTGTCGATTGGCTGTGATTATGTAAGGCTCCGTGCAACAGTGTGCTCTTAACCTGCAAGATAGGGCTGTCTCCATTGAAATTAAAACCAAAATGGTGGTTAATTTGTTTCTGCTTTAATTTGCTACTTCCATTTAAGATAATTAATTTTAATTGGTCATTTCAATCAAGGTTTTAAAAATCGGACCGGATACAGAACCGTTTTGGCCAACACCAGTTCCCAGGTCAAACAGTTTGGATGGCCCATTCTGATTTAAAAAAAATATTGGTATCCAGATTGATGAATCAATAGTTTGAATGCCCGAATCAGTAGATCACTGACCAAATCAACAAATACGATTTTAGGATGAAACAGAACTGATTGCCTGATCGATTCTCGAGTCAATCGATTCAACCATCTGATTTTCAAAACGATTTTAATATCAATTAATAGGAAGAAGTTTAAAAAATTAATTACCAGTGGGTGACAAGTTGGTGATAGCCAAAATCATGAGCCAAACACATGAGCTTTAGCTAACCTCCACAGCCAACAATTAGTAGCACCCCAGCTAGGCGTGAACGCCTTCTTCCACTGAGGCTTGTCTTCTGTAGGAGGACGAGTGAGCTCAATGGCCAGTGGTCTTAATGTGTCATCTTGGCTCAGAAAGAATAGAGTGCGTGATTCATAGAGAGTCGTCCCTTCTATCTCTCTCTCTCTCTCACTTTGTTTACCTATGGTAGTAACAAGTCATAGTAATCTAATACGTACGAACAACTTCTTACGCTCCAAAGCCTGTAACAATTAATTAACCCCATCAGGCCATCAATTTGTGGTGAGTTTATTGCATTGATTTTTAGCTCTAATTAATAACCAATGCAAATGTGAAATCGATCCAGATCTCATCCTACAGGACACTACAGCCGTACATTGGGAACATCTCTCCATGTACAGCAGCTGTACTGTAGTCCTGTGGGTGTGGGTAGGAGATCCGAGCTCGAGCTCGAGCTCGCAAAAGTGGCCGTTGATCACTTGATATTGCATGCACTTAATAATTACCTCATCAAAAGTTATTATTGCCTTTGATCTCTCGCTCAATAAGTTCTTTGGTGAAAAAGGACTCCGGCGGGCCATAGATCTCAGGATCAAGTTTGCTCTTCAGTGGCCATTCCTACAAATTAATCAAGGATTAATTGGGATTACTGCATGTTACTACCAAACCTTTATTATATTTTTTGATTAATTAGCTTTTCATGTAGAATATAATTCCCCTTATAGCTATAAGACATGCATTAATTCCTTGTGTTTGGCTTTAATTGTATATAGCTAGTGGCAGCATACATTTTCTACAATACTGAAAGTAGCTTAATTTAATGATTTTTAATTTTTCTTTTGGAGGATAAAGTGCTTAATATAACCTACTTATAATCACTTATTCGCATTAAGTCATTCATTTCAGAGGTCCCCACGTTGAAAAATGCCCCAAGAAATTAAGAGGCTTAATTTAGTTCAGGCAAATGAGAAATTAATGCTAGTATATAGAGAGAGGTTGAATATGTTGTGGCAAGACACAAGAGTCATACCTTAACCTAGGGTTGTTCACGGGTCGGGTTGGGTCAGTTTACTGAGGTTTTTTCAACCAACCCGACCTGGTTGGGTTACTTGAGCTTGAAACCTAAACCGACCCAGTGTTAAGCAAAATCGACCTGCTCGGTTTGGGTCGGGTTGGGTCGGTTTCGTCTCTAAGTTCAACCATGCTTGACAGAAACTCAACTGCAATAATGGGGGCGGACCAAGTTAGAAACTTATAATAGAAGTTATCAAGAAAATAGAAAGTCAAACTGTATTAGAGAAAGAAGACTGAAATTTGTTATTTCAAGAAACCTTCTAATCTAAGTAAAAAATGACACCTAATTCTAATTGTAATTGGTTGCCTATTTGGTGTAAAAGACCACAGAAACTAGGATCTTTTGATTCTTTTCTTTAAACTTTTCTAAAAAAATTCCTTGTCTAGTTGTCGTACGATACTTGCCATTAATGTTATTCCTAACTAGAAGATTAGAAATTAAGTTAGGTTGTAATTAGGATAGAGACAACTTAGTTAAGTAAGAACTAAGTCGGTTGTAACTACTAACTAGGAAGTAGGAACTAACTACTAACTACTAAGTCGGTTCAGTTCGGGTCGGTTTCGGTTTTCACACAAGAAAACCGAAACCGGCCCAAACCATCGGTTTATAATGTTTTACAACTCGAAACTAACCGGTGCTGAAGATAACCCGGCCGACTCAGGTTAAGTCAATCCGGGTTAGTCGGTTTGGTCGGATTGGACCTTATTATGAACAGCCCTACCTTAACCAACTCAATTTTCAAGGGGTTGAGGCCAGCAAGAGTCAGACGCGAGAATTCCTCGTCTCTAAACCAAGAGAATTTGTTTCCCACCGCATTGGAATGGTGATGATGAGATAGATGTAATGAAGGAATTATACATACGCAGTTAATAAATAATGAATGATGAAAGAGAGAGAGAATTACTAGCTATGGCTATGAAGTAGGGAAAGCCAAGGTTGGCGTCAATATTAACATGGGGTAGCAGAGCCTGAAATATCGATCTCATGTTCTTAATAGAGAAACTAAACATCCTCATTTCGGGAAATGCTTCATCCCTTGGTACATACATGCTATTGCTCCTTTTCTCTGAATTTGGGTCTGCACCCAACAATGTAAACAATCATGTTATTAAGTTATACCAAACACAGCCTTAAATAATCTATACTATAATTATCAATGTATTAAAATACAACTCGGAAATAGAACCATTTTGATCACTGGTTTTTGGGTCAGCAGTTCAACCATTCAGTTTGAACGGGTCAGCCCATGATGTTTTTAAAAATGAAAAAAAAATAATTAAATGATCCAAAAAAAAACTGTTTATTGGGTCAAACCAAGGTTTTAAAACCAAATCGGACAATAAACCAGTCAGGGTCCGGTTCCTGGGTCAAATGATCCAACCATTCGAACCAAACGGGATGGCCTGTGTCTAACAAAAAATAAAAAATTAATAAAATGAAAAAAATGGCCAAAACCATTAGACAATTCAAATGGTTTGAACAGTTTGACCATCCGAATCAAAGATTTACTGAATAAATCAATGGTTTTTGGTGAAATAACAGTTATAAGGTAAAACAGAATGAATTATCTGGCCGATTCCCAGTTTTCCGGACGGACCATCCGGTCCGTTTTAAAAATCATGGGTCAAACGGTTTAGCAATTTAACATTTGAGTCGGTGATTTATTGACCAAATCAATATTATATATATATATATATATATTGAGATTTCTAGATCAAGCATAAAATGGAACCAGACTACTTACCAATTCTCAAGTTGAACAGTCCAACAGTCGACTACGGTCTGATTTTCAAAACAACAATAATTATTGAGTAGCTAGCTCTATGTCATAAATATATTAGCACCATAATTTATTTATCAAGAATAATCAACATACACACACATATATATATACCTGTCTTGCATCTCTGACGCCCTGCCCTACAGCGCCTAGGATAAGGGAACTTCTTGCCACCTAAGACAGGTCGTGCCAGTTCATCCTTTTTGTCTGGATCTCCTTCTTCATTGCCACGCAGGTTCTCCAGCTCTTTCTCCCTCAGCCTCTTCAGACCATGCGGCGTCTCCCAAGGCAAATAGCACTGCAGGTAATAAAAGGAGAAACACATCAATATGTTGCATTAATTTTTGCTTCGATCGATATTCGATCATCATTTTGATAATTTTTTGATCGATATATGCTTGATCATCATGTGGGTGCTATATATCTTAATTACATTTATTGGACTAGAAAGCAGAATATTGGGCTGGGTTGTCACTGGTCCATAAGATCAAACAATTAAGCTAGGGAATACCCAGTAGTTCATTGAGGGCCGGGCAAGCTGTTGATACAGTGAGCCCTTAATTATTTGATAGATGGCCTAGCCGATGATCGAATAATACTAAAATTCGAACCTTGATAGTGAAGAAGATCCTCTTTTCTGGGTTGTCGTACTTGCTATGAACCCAGGAGTTACAGGTGATGTTATAAGATGGTGTATAATCAGGAGAGCCATTGATGAGGAGGAGGGTTATGTTCTTGACAAACATCTCATTATGGTGCTGATTTTCCACCACAACTGCACCAATCTCACCGAACCCAGGCTCCATGATGAAACTGCTCTCGTACTTCATCTCATCCCCCTCTTGCCCAACCCAACGTGCATATCCCTTCATTGTATTCTTCTCTAATCCCGTCCCTTCAAAAAAAAAAAAATACAGTACGTAATTAATGCAAAATGAAAGAAGTGATTAATACATATATAAATATAGAAACTACAAAAATTAAAGCCTTAATTCATCATGTACAATTCATTGAAAGATTAGTGTTTGTATTATCTGCTTACTTGGATCAAGCTCCAAACTGATGAGCTCCAAAAGAAGGGTCTTACCCATCATATCCGTTATAATATCCACAGCTTGGGTCAATCCAAGCTTGGAGAAGAACCCAGCGAAGGAGAGTTTCACTGTAACTATGGCCTTAACACTAACAGTAGATCTAGACGACGACGACGACGTTCCTGCAGACTCCTCTGATCTTCTTGTGATTGTTCCAATATTGTTACCAGGGAGAGAACGAACACAACGTATTCTCTTTTGGTGGAGACTTGAGCCTGCAGGTGGCCTGAAGAAGAGAAGTGATGACGATGTTCTCCTACTCCTATCACGCTGCTGGCTTGTACAGAACGTCGACTTATGCAAGATCAAGCGGGATACATTAATGGGCTCAAGCTGGCGTTGGTGTTGCAACAGAGTTTTGGTGAACATTTTGGAATTGGTTGGTTGTGTGGGAAAGAGTTGGGAATAAATGAATAAATTAAACCTTAATGCGAATTAAAGAGTGGTTTGTACTTTGTAGAGATGAAGGTTTCAACTCAACTCTTTATATGGCCTTAATTAATTAGGGGCAATATATAATACTTGATATTTATTATTTATGTTGGTGGCTCCTACCATTGTCGAAGGACGAATGAACCCAAACCACCTCTTTGTTTTCATGTCTAAACCCTAAACCTAACCTTTTAACTTCTAAAATTAACATGTAAAATGCCTTTACAGCAAAAAAAAAAAAAACGTATAAAATGCCTTTGGTTGGACACATATATTTTCCCTAGATCCGCTGATTTATGTCTCCAAAAGATGATAATATTGTCCGTCACCGTCAGTGGTTCATTTTCTTCACCATGCATGATGATATATAAGCTTTGATTGTGATTCCCATGTTATTATGCTTCATCCATCTGTGAAAACCATGTTCCCTGTTTGTATTATTAGGGGCGATATATAATACTTGGTATTATTTGTATTGGTGGCTCCTACCATTGTCGTAGGACGAGTGAATCCAAACCACCTCTTCGTTTTTATGTCTAAACCTCAAGGCCCCATTCGTTTTTCGATAAGTTATTTATTCAGGTAAATACAATTATCTGGGTAAGTTTTTCTTGAGAAATACTTACCCAAATAAATGCATTTACCTATATTCTTTTATTTCTCATGTAAATAAGGCAATGACCATTTTAACCATAAAAATCCATTATTAAAAAGGGCATTTTTGTCTCATTCAAGTATTGGCAACTTTCCCCCTAAGTGGGAAAGTTATTTACCCACGTAGGAGATGGTGGGTAAGTGATACCCATAAACTTTCCCTAATCCCCACATAAATCTGAAAAAATAACATGGGATTCTTTGTCAATGGGAACCAAAATCCCATTGAGCAACACTCCCCCTCTCAAAATCCGAAAAAAGAATGCCCTAAATCTAACCTTCTAACTTCAAAAATTAACATGTAAAATGCCTTTATAGCAAAAAAAAAAACGTGTAAAATGCCTTTGCTTGGACACATATATTTTCCCTACATCCACTGATTTATGTCTCCAAAAGATGATAATATTGTCTGTCACCTTCAGTGGTTCATTTTCTTCACCATGCATGATGATATATAAGCTTTGATTGTGATTCCCATGTTACTATGCTTACATCTGTGAACCATGTTCTCTGGTTGTAAATATCCTCATCATTTTCCATGTCTTATCCCAATTGTTATTATTGTTATTATTTTGGCTGCACTCCCCCTCAAAAATCTGAAATGACAGCCCCTTCCTAGTCTATTAGTAGCCCCCAACCCTCTAATAAATCACATCTTGTCCATGGATTTGACATCGATTTTCACAATCAAGATTCACCCCACCTTTAAGGTGGAGCTAAGATTTTTAGAGGTGGACTGAATTATAAAAACCCCTTATTATTTTTTTCTTTTGGTATTGAATTGTGTGACTAATCTCTTATAGAGGCCTTAACTTTTATTTCTTGGGCATAGTACAATAAGTCAACAACACACTAGTAAATCTCCTCTAAAGTCTACACGGCATGGATGTGCCGTGGGACGTTGTGGGGCGCAGATCTAAACTCACGTGACAGCAGCCTCATGACTGAAAAAAGAAAAGGAAAGAAAGAAATGATAGCACAGAGAGAGTAAAGAGTGCTTTTAGTTAATGGAGTGTTGATGGTTATGCAGAGATGGGGGAGGATAGAAAGTGATGAATTGGATATTGCTACGGGGCTACAAACAGATCGGAACAGATCAGACATATCTGGATTCAAATCAAATCTTAATCATCAAATTTTTATCAGATTTGGATTAAATTTGGATATTGAATAGCATAAATAAATTAAACTAACAATGATGACAATTATATATTATTGATAAAACGAATAAAAATATCTTTAATAACGTGCATCTTGAACAAAATAAATTGAAAATAACTTGTACAACACGAAAGGATTGATTACATTGGAGATGATAAAGGTATATTCATAATTCATATTCAACCCATTATTATAGTTGTAGGTTTCAATACTGATTGTCATACTTAGCGGTTCATAACTCAGAATCCACATCCAGATAAAATTCCAAATCTATGGCAACTGCCCAAGAAGAAGTGTTTTGAGAATCCACTTCGACCTCTTCACAACAAACTTCACGGTATGATTAAACCCAACAAACTTCACGGTGATATTTTGGTCCTAACAAACACAACTATTTGCCATCTAATTCTAAATTCTAAAGCAAACCAACCAATTATATTATGATAAGCACATTAGCATGTTAGAGCGTTTGGTGTGACGTTCTAAAAAGAGATTTGTCAAAATGCAAATGGGCTTTTAAAAAAAAATGGTGCTATAAAATGGGCTTTCTTTTTTAAAAGGGATTTTTCTGAACGGGCTGTTTTGATGAAAAAGGACCCTTTTTACCAGACACCAAATCGGGCATTTTTTGGGTGCTTTTAACTTATTATAAATACTCCCCAACATGGCATTCGTTGTGTCCGATGAGATTTTAGTAAGATCCATCTCTACCCAATTTCCATCTAATTCTTCAGGAAACCAACCAATTAAATGTAGTGATGAAAGCTCACCTTTGCTCAGGTGGTGTAAAGTGTAAACCACCGACACATTGGGGCATCGCCTGTTTTTTGAAATGTGATGGTGTTTTCCAGTGCCGATAGCAGTAGGGACTCCGGATCTCCTGACCACGTCTACCCACAATACACTATTCCCCATGAATTAGGAACATCTCCCCCTGCATAATACTATGTAGAGGATGAGATGCTCTCCATATGCGGCTGCAATTAACGTGGACAGGGTTCTCATGGGCAGGAAATCCGGGCTCAGCGGGAGGAGGCTAGGAGCCCTACCCTCTTAATCAGACTCCCTCCCAAGTGAGACAAATGCCAAGAAAATAACAATTGAAAATGAAAGCAAAATCCAAGATGAAAGCAAAGTAATTGTTTAATTGCCTTCTTTTCAATCCCCAAGTGAGATCCAAAAGGAAGGAAAGATAACCAACAAGGGTCGAGATTTCAGAATAGTGAATTTAGCTTAGCACCTTTTCAGAATAAGGACCGAGGTCAGAAAAAGGAGAAAACACATCTCCAGTCCACGCACGTTACCTTTCCCTACCTTCTATTTCAAACCAAACACAGCCTATAGGTTTGCATCTCTTATCCCTAATAAAGGTGCAATAGTACACGGAAATGTATCAGTAAAATGAGAAGAAAGAAAACAGTGAAAGGAAATGCTGCACAACTTCCATATTACTTGATTAACAAAAGAAAGGGGGTTGTTCTTATTCTTTTTTAGGGTTGATGGGTTTTCACTTATTTCAGATGGACTCGATATTTCAATTGTTTTGTTGTTGAAAACACGACTAGAAATTGGAATAAGGTTTTTCTAGAATCGTGGCTCTCTCGCATCTCTGAGGTGGTTTTGGCAAGGGAAGTTGAGCCTCACAAGTCACAACTAGTGGCCCGTTATGAAAATGAAAAGATAACCAAAAAAAATGGAAAAGCAAAGAGTCTCGCTTCTAGGATTTCTCCCATAGACACCCCACCCCTCAGCGAGGGGTTTCAGGAAAACATACAAAATCATAATAAACAACCCAGTCAACAAAACAGAAAAGACCATGTACTGGTTTGTCATCACGCTAGTTGCCAAGTGCACCAAACCAGCCATATCCACAGGAAGGATGAAATGACCAATCCCAGACTCCTAATTAGATTCACATACCCTAGAGATAACCATGTGTTTATTACCATTTAGGTCAAGCCAATAATCCTCCATGAGATCAAAATAAGATGAAGCACTCTGGAGCTGCCAGCCTAGCTACAACTGCAAGACTCCATAATTTTCTATTCCATTCAAGTTTTTCACCAGACTATTGAACTAGCAAATCCATCCTCCTTTCTTACCCTTGAAAAGGAAACAAAGAAAAAACTGAAAGAAAGCAAGGAAAAGAGAAGATGACTAGTGAAGTACAAAACAATTACATAACCAATCCGTCGATCTTTTAAAAGCTGGTGTTATGCGCAGGTTAAACACTCCGAGTGCCATTCCTTCAGGGTCACTATCTCAGTAGCTTAACCATAATATTTATGGACATTTCAGGTCAATTGCCCACAACATACAGAAAGAATGATCACAAACTATTACTAAAAGAAGGTTGGCAAACAAATTTATTTGATCTTCTTTCTCAGACCTTCAAAACAGAGAACTACCTAGAACGGCAGGAGTATGACTACACCTCCAAACAGCACCATAAGGCCAATCCAGAAACATTGCTAGCTCACCAATTAAACCACTCTTCTTTGGGAGAAATAAAAGATGCACTTAATTGACAGATGGCCTTTTCTCAGTGGTGTACGGGTAGTACTCCTTACCAGTGTCAGTTCTTGTTGTCTGACCACCAGCATCAATAACAGAAGAAGTGAAGGCCAAAGCAGCACCAGCAGAAATGGCAGTAGAAATGCTCTTTCCTGTAAAGAAATGAAAAATAGCAGGTTTGAGATAATTGATTATGATTTTTTATGAAAAGTAGATACTATCTCGGGTTCATACCTAAATAAAATTAAAAAATAAAAAAAAGCTCCACAATAGAACATCTAGTTTCTTTGAGATTTTTCTTCCCCTTTCTGCATCTAATATAAACTTCTGACTGAGAACAAGTGAAGATTAATGAGAACAGACCACCAGCCAAATTATTAACTACATGATTTATAGATTTATCAAGAATCAAAGTTTAAGAAACATGCATCTCCAAAGTTGGTTTACTTTATTTATCCAGCAACAATAATCACTTTAAACTCCTTCACATACAGTCATGCTTAATTTAATATTGCTATGGATCTCAATAACAATTTTCATTGACTTATGAGACACAATTCTATTTTCCTTTTGACTTTCCTTCAAGTCCAGACCCAGGATTAGGGGTCAACAAAACCTAGTGAATGGCAAGATGTTATGACTCTCAAATTCTGGAATAGGACAATTCCATCATCTAGACCAAGATACAAAAGCTTGTCCAAACCAAATACATGGACTTCCAAAGATGCTATATGAATTGGTCAACCAAGTCAGAGAGGGCCCTTTGAGTTTGAAAGACAAAGAGCTGGAGCTATAAGGATGCACATACTAACACTAGATTTCAATATTTCCCCTAATAAGAAAGAAATTTTGTTAAGCTAAATTTTGATGGTTATGGTTCAAAGTTTCAGTTTCATTAGGCATTTTTTCATTGTATGAATGGAAAATTTTCAGGAAAGTTTAGTAAATTTTGCTCAAATTCTGGAAAGCTTAAAGAAATTGAGTAAAGATATAAAATTCTTGAAAACATAGAAATTATTTATGAAACTTCGAGAAATGCTGAAAGTATAATTGCATACTAAAATAGGTCATTACTCAATATTGGTCCCAACTATCTGAGGTATTGGGAAGGGTGGACTGGATACAGACCCAACCTTTGACACTTTTTGCATAAAATGTCTGCTCTCAGACTCGAACCCACTTTCCTACACTTGTCAGCCAGAGATTTTACCATTACACCAAGCAATGGCCCCTAAGTATAATCAAGGTTCAAAGTATCGGAAGCACCAAGTGTATCGGAAAGGCAATTTTAAGAGACGTATCGGGATATGCCTTGGATATGCATGCGCATCGGAGAAAAACTAAGATACGCTTGGAAACAYTATAAATACTTTAATAAATCATAAAAATACATCAATAACACAAAATTTAAGACCTCAATGAGGTGTATATACATTAAATTAATATATTCTAATGGTTTTATGAAGAAATATTTTGTAGTTAATTATAATTTCATTAAAAATCCTATGCTTAACTATAATTTATAAATTATAATTCTTRAGTTTTAATGTTTTATGGGATGGGAAAAACCCAACTCTCCTATCCAACCATAAAACATGCATTGGCACAACTGCTAAGTGAAAATATAATTAATAATTATTTATTATTAAAATAATTATCATTTATTATCTATTTCCAAAAATTATCAAAAATAAATAAAAAATGATATAATATATTCAAAAAATAGTTATTAAAGAAGAAATTTCAATTGCTTCGTGGATATGATAGATCATCCATAGAATTATAATATATTCAATCATTGTAATCAAATGATAAAATATAATTAATTATTTATTTATTTTTTAATTCTAAAAATAAAAAAAAAAAACAATTATTAAAGAAGAAATTTCAATTGGTTTGTGGATATGATGGATCATCCATAGAATTATAATATATTCAATTGTTGTGATCAAATGATAAATTATAATTAATTATTATATATTTTTTAATTCTAAAAATATAAAAAATCAAAAAAAAATATTAAAGAAGAATATCCAATTCCTCTATGGATATGATAGATAAATCCATAGATCTAACACATATTTATTTAGTCTTTATAGGCAGAGAAAAAATTACATTTTCAAATTTTTTGTTTAATTTATATTTTCCCCAAGTATCTTCATGAAATTTCCATAAATCTACTGATAACACAAAAAAATTGTGATTTTGAATGTAAGAAATGCAGATCAACTGATCAACATAAATTTAAACATTCAAGAAAAAAAAGAAATCACAAGATATTATAAAATTTTGAAAAAACTTACCTATTTGTGCCATATTTTTTCAAAATTTGAAAAATCTTCAAAAAAAAAATTATCAATAACTCTGAAAAAAATTTCATTAATTAGAAAACTTTAGGATACAACAAGTTGTGAAAGAAATCAGCTTTAGTAAGCTGACCCGGGACTAGACCTGTTCATGGGCCAGGTAGCCTGACAGGCCGACCTGGCCCGGTCCGATCTAAGTCAAGCTTGGACAAGATTTCAGGCCCTCGAGCTTGGGCTCGAGCCCAACTTTTTTAGGTTGGGCTCGGGTTTTCTCAAAAAAGCCTGGCCCGAGCCCGAGCCCGACTTGATAATGTATTATATTAATAATATATGTTTCTTTATTTTTCTTCTCTTTTTTCAAGTAATAATGAGACTTTTCATTATTTTTTTAGGTTTTGAGGTCTTTTTGTATAAATAAAACAACTTTTAATTGAATTAAAAGGAAAAAAATCTTTTTTTCCAAATTTCTAACTGGCCTCGGGTTCGGGCCCGGGCTTCGGGCTTTATATGAGGGCCAGGCTTGGGCTCAAGACCTAGGCCCGATGGTTGATCTGAGCTCGAGCTCGGGCCTAAACATATTCTATTAATGTAGAGGCAAAGCCCGGGCCGGCCCGGCCCATGAACAGGTCTACCCGGGACAGAATTACAAATGTGCCCAAAACATGTGTTCTTTGAACCCCATGCTTTGCTAAACTATCTTCCAAACTGTTGGCAAATCTCCTAGCCCATCCCACCTGGATTGACATGTTCCTTGACATCCATTTAAATCTTCAAAAATCATTCTTCAACTGCTATGTCACCCCTTCCCCTTTCTATAACCATTTTATCACAATTTTTGAGTCTCCCTCGATGATCAGTCTATTAATACCCAACTCCTTGGCCTTCTCAACCCCATATGCTGCAACTAGAAACTCTGCCCTTGCCACATCACCCTACTCCACAGGACCGGAGTACAGAGCAATAATGTTTCCATTTTCATCTCTAATGGCCCCCCCAATGCTTGAAGGGCTTGGATTACCCACACAACTCCCATCAAAGTTGAGCTTCTTCCAACCATCTGTTGGAGGAGACCATGCCTCAAAAAAATGTTGTCTCGTAGATGAAGAGGTAGCAGTAAGTCCCCAAACCCTAAAAAAGTCTTCGACCTTAAAAGTTGAAAACAACTTAAAGCTTTTTGCCCAATGTGCCACCCTCAATGCTATTGTTTCAACTAAAGCTTCCTTACATTTTTCTTTTCCTTCAAATATTCTATCATTTCTTTCCTCCCAAACAGTCCAAAGTATTGTTGCTCTAGTATACCTCCATAGAACCCTACCCCTCCTTTTCATGCCACTAATACCATTAGGGCTGAATAAACCTTCCAACTTGTCAGGAGAAGACCACCTGCACCCAAAAAGAGAAGTAAACCAATTCCAAATAAAATTGACAAAAGGGCAAGATATTAGAAGGTGGAAAGCAGTCTCACCAATCAATTTACACAAGACACACCAGTTGGGGGACAAGCACCAATTTGGTCCTTTCCTTCGAAGTACATCAAAGGTATTTAATACAACGATTGTAGAAGGGATTTCTTTGACTAGGAAAGGATGAGAAGAGGGAGTGGCAACCAACGATTGTAGAAGGGATTTACAAGAAAACGACCCGTCAGATTTAGGACCCCAAATCCTAGAGTCTAACCCACCTTCCCCCAAGAATACTGAATTCAGCAATCCTAACAGCTCGGACACTGCAAGAATTCCAGACTCTCTAAGGTTTTTGATAAAGCCAAAGTTCCAATTCAACCCTGGAAGGTGAGATGGCTGACTTAGGAAATCTGAAATAGGCCTAACCTTGAACCTAGACAGATCACAAAGAGAAGGAAATTTCTCACCCAAAGGAGTATCCCCAATTCACACATCCTCCCAAAATCTGATTTTACTACCAGAAGACAAGTCATACCTAATATGATTTAGGAAGGTAGGGAGAACATCATGGATGGCCTTCCAAGGAGCAGCCAAGGTAGCCCTACGGAAACATCCAGCATCCCATTCGTTGTTCGACATGCCATGAATGCTTGCAACAACTTTGTGCCATAATTTCTCATTTTCATTTGGAAACCTCCAAAGCCATTTGCAAAGCAGAGCCTGATTCTTCAACCTAACATTACCAATTTCCAAGCCCCCTTCCACCTTCAACTTCCCCACCTTTTCCCATCTAACCAAATGATCCTTCTTTTTTTCCCTGGCTCCCAAAGAAAATCCCTCATGATTTTTCAATTTTCCTCACTATCCCTTGTGGCATCCTGTAGTACACTAGAAGGTTTGCTAAGGTAGACTTGATTAGAGTTATTCCCCCCCCCCCCCAATGAGATATTGTTCCTTTTCCACCCCGCCAAACGTTTCTCGATCCTTTCCACCACGAGAGACCAAAAACTAGCAGAACTAGGGTTGTGTCCAAGGGGTAAGCCCAAGTATTTCAATGGCCACTCTCCTTTCTCACAACCTAGGGAATCTGCCAAAAATCTCACTTCATCCTCTTCAAACCAATAAGCTCTTTGACCAATTAATCCTCAAGTTAGACATCCTCTCAGAGTTTCACAACCAGCCTCAGATTTTCTACTCCCTCCCTACTTTCTCCATCACAAAAAATAAGAATATCATCTGCAAACTGTTAGTGAGTGACCAAAACATTATCCCTCCCAACTGACCAACCCCTGAATGGTTGCACACAATTTGCTCTCGAAATCAATTTACTTAGGGCTTCAGCAATCAAAGTAAATAGAAAAGAAGAAAGGGGGTCATCCTGCTTGAGCACACGGGATCCTTCAAAGAAATCATACATTGTCCCATTAACTATTACTGAATAGT